TGAGGTCAATCGTACTTGATTTGATAGGTTTCAGCATCGAATGTAGAAGTTAGAATTTCTTAGTTTCGTTATGAATTGGGGTATGATTCGTGGTTTTAGCATTGTTTGATGTGATTTGACATTTCGACTAAGTTCGTATCGTGTTTTAAGACTTGTTGGTATGATTGAATGGGGTCCCGAGGGGCTCAGGTGTGTTTTGGATCACTGGTTGAGAAACTAGTTAAGGATTTGGAGTTTGACCATGGTCAATATCGGGTCACGATGACCTCTATTCGGTGTTTTGAGTGCCTGAGCAGGTTCGTAGCATGGTTTATGATTAAAACGCATATATGGTTTGTGTCCGGGAGGTTCTGAATGAGTTTTGGGTGCTAAAACGAAAATTCATTCGTTGCTGATTTTCTAGTGTACAATAATTATGAAAATGTCATTTTTTATCTCTTAAATTTCTATACTTCATTTAAATCTTCAAAATATCATACCTCTCTCATTTTAAGGCCAAATTGGGTGATTCAAAAGTCTAACGTGACTGAAATTTCACAAGGAATCCATTGGAGGCATCAAAAGATAGTTTTAGGATTGTTTGGCATACGAAACAATGCAAAATATTTGGAGAAAAAAATATTTAATATCGAGGGTTTGTTCATTTTCCATTTTTGACGAATTGGAGCTCGAAAAGAGGTGATTTTCAGGATAATTTCAAGAAAAACAATGGGGTAAGTGTTATTAACTCAATATTGATCAAATTACCCGAATTCATGGTTATTTTTAATATTTAATTGGTGAATTAAGTTGAAAATATTTAGAAAACCCTCTTGGTTTAATTTGAGGATTTGAGGATCGAGTTGATGTCGGAATTTGGTAAAATTGGTATGGTTGGACTCATGATTGAATGAGCATTCATATTTTGTAACTATTTTTGGGTTCTGAGACGTGGTCCCCATGAGCGAATTTTGAGTGTAATTTCGGATTGTTTTAGAAAAAATTAGTATTTTGATATGGCATTAATTCCTATAATTTGTGTTGACTGAATCGAATTAATTGTGACTAGATTCGAGCCATTCGGAAGTTGATACGTGCAAAATAGAATTTCTGGAGCATTGTTTAGCTTGCTCGACATTGGATTCGGCTTGTTCGAGGTAAGTAACTCTTCTAAACTTTGAGCTGAGGGTATGAACCCTGATTATACGTGTTATGTGAATTGTTTGGAAGTGAAAGACATGCTAGGTGACGGGTGTGAGGGCGTACACAGTAGAAATTGAGACTCAGTTGATTCAGTAGAGCTGTATAGTCAATTAACTTGTATTTTTCCATGTATTTTTATGTGTTAGAGAAACTGAGCTGTGACTCATGTTAGAAATCATGCTTAGGCAACTGTTGGTATTATTGGGACCCACTGAGGTTAGTTCTGCTGTCGAAGTATATGGTTAAAGTGTAATTTCGTACTCAATCATATACATTCATGGCATATTATATCTCAATCTTTGTTGTTATTTATTAATACATCATATCATTATTTTGGGCTAGTTTCATGACACTGTGAGCCCGAGAGACTGGAGATATTGATGACTGAGTGTGGCCGAGGGCCTGATGTTTTGAGATATTGATACTATAGCACGTGAGTTGTCCGTGCAGCATATGAGTTATTCGTGTAGCACGTTAGTTGTCCGTGCAGATCTAGATATTTATACTATAGCATGTGAGTTGTCCGTGCAGCACGTGAGTTGTCCGTACAGTTTATAGCGCTTGGGCTGAGAGATCCCCTCCGGAGTCTATACACGCCCCTAGTGAGTGCAGGTACCTACTGAGTGCGAGTGCTGAGTGGCGAGCGATTGTGAGGACTGAGTGACTGGGAGGACTAAGTGAATTGATACTCTGAGAGTATGCATATGGTTTTATTACTGAGTTGTATCGCATTGACATGCACACTTGACCTACATGCATAAAGATGTATTTTTCCTCATGTTGTACGATATTGTGTCATTCGTGACTTCACATGCTCATTGAGTAGGCATAGAGATGTATTTTACTCATGCCATTTGAAAATGAAACATCCTATTTGTTGTTGAAAAGTTTTTGGAAAAAATTACAGTTTTACAAAACGTACTCATATTTTGGTGATTTTTGTAAAAGATTCGGGTTTTCATTGATATACTTGAAAAGCAAGCCTATTTTTCTGGAATTGTGAACGAGCTGAGCATTTTATCTGAGCTACTTCTTTTACTACTTCTATTATATTGTTATGAACTGTTGTTGGCTGTTGGTGTTGGACCCTGACCTTTGTTTCAGCTCGTTACTACTTTCAACCTAAGGCTAGGTTTGTTACTTATTGAGTACATGGAGTCGGTTGTACTCATACTACACTTCTGCACCTTGCGTGCAGATATTGGATGATGATGTTGCTGTGATCGACGAGAGCTGGATTTGAAGATATACCTATGTTCCGGTCATAGCTGTCTTTTGTTCATGGTAGCCTTAGATTTATAAAAATATGTTTATGTACATTTCGAACAGATGATGTATATATTTCATACCATCTTTGTAAATTCTAATCTTAGAAGCTCATGATTTGTACTAACAGTCCTTGGGGAGTGTATTAGAGTCAGTTAAATATTAATTGAATTGGATAATTGTTAATTGGCTTACCTGACGGATTAGGTTAGGTACTATCACGACTATGTAGATTTTGGGTCGTGACAACAACTATACTCAAATGCATGACTCTCAATAACTTCCATAGGATTCAATTTCAAAACCACATGAGTACCAATCATGTCAAGAAGATTTTTAAACTATGATACCAAAGCTTCTAAAGTTATTTTTAAGTCACAAGGCCACTTTTTTTTGTTCATGTGTCTCAATTGAGAAAAGAAACATTAACCATACTCGAGTTTTCATGTGCCCTCACAAATCAAGAGAGATTCCCACACATGTTATTATATTTTCAAGGCAAAAGTGGGATATGAACAAAAAAAATAAGCACTCTCTCTCTCTCAAAAGAAGTTCAAATGTACAAAAGCATAACCATAGGCTTGCCCCTCTCGTTGATCTCCACTAATGTAGATGTGCCAAGTTTAAAATCATTTAGGAATTGCGGGAATATATTATAGGCTTTTGGTTGGAGGTAGGGCATCAATATGGGTAAAGAGTGACTACGACCTTCCTAAGCACTACAATCTTGACAATTCAAAACACAATTCTTTTCAAAATTCCACCCTTTTTGCTCTCCTTTTCAACTAGGCGATATGATTGAATTACACCATTGGAGCTCCTTAGTTCGCAAGGATTTCCTTTTGTGATTACCACCTTTGTCATGATTCTCTAGTCTTCCTTTTTTATTTCAACTCTTTTTTTTTCACCTCCTCCCCCAAACTTAGGCTTTTGGCCTAGAATGTGATTCAAGTGCTTAAGAAAGTCGGGGCATCAAAAGAGGTTATCATAAGAAGGAGAAAAAGGATTGTAATTAAAGGACAAGTGGTCCAAAGAAAGCCTAAACTAATTTTTTAAACTAAGCACAACCTAGAATTTAGCCTCGAAACACACTTGGGGCAAGTTCTAGACCACAATTGACGCAAAAGAACTCAACAACAACCTCACCTCACATGGCTCATGCACACTCAAAGCAGATATATGTATTCAAAGCCCAATTGAAACACATGAACACAAAAAGTTGCCATAGCCTAAAATCTATATAGTGACATTAAAGCTAACAATGGAACCTGAGGATCATGCCAAGAAAAATCAACTCTAATTACTTTTTGGAATTTTCAAAGCCATGCATTTCATGGAAAGTTGTTTCAAGGCATACATCTAAGTAGTGTTGGTACCAAACGAGTCAAAAGTTGACTTTGGGACATTAAAAAAAAAATCCGGTTCAAGTTGCATCTTTGGGAAAGAACCATGGCAAAGAAAACTCAAAAAGGTTATTGCTAATTCCTAGAAAACATAAAATAAAATATCAACAAAAATAAAAGAAGAGAAAATACAAAAAAGAAAATATAACATCAACTAATGGCATCAAAAAATGTCAAGCATACCAAAACTCATCAATACCCCTCCCCCATACATAAAATTTTGCATTGCCCTCAATGCAATTAAAACAAGTATAAGGGTAGGGTAAAGAAATATTCTATCAATCCGAGCGGGGTGGCAGGCTCAACTGTGGCCAACATTTAATGAAACCGTGACCAATGGTTTGCATTGGAGCATAGGTGGAGCAAGCTGGAAATTGACACGGTTTAAAACGTGGCTTACAGTTTAGCTCACGGTTTGGTTCAATTATTCACATGTTGCTCTATCTTTTCTTAGACAATTTTGCTCAACCTCTTCACTTTAAACCTACACCCTACACATATTTAATGCCCAAAATACATCAAAGCAAGGGAAAAAAATACTACACTACCAATACAACATCAAAATGCAAGAATAAAAGGAAAAAGAGCTTGGGTTGCCTCCCAAGAAGTGTCTTATTTAACGTTGTGGCACGACGCAAAGTCCAATACCAATCAAGTCATTAGGGGTTCCCACAATTGAATTTTTGAAACTATGTTTCCTCTATCAATGGCCCAAATAATGTTGGATTCTATGGCCATGCACTTTGAAGATTCTAAATCTACTACACCAAAGGGATAAACATGCATAACCTTGAATGGCCCGGAACATTTTGATTTCAACTTGCTCGGAAACAACTTAAACCTTGAATTGTAGAGAATAACCAAGTCCCCGGGGTGAAACTCCCTTTTGATGATCTTCTTGCCATGGAGGAACTTCATTCTTTGCTTATACAAAAAATCACTTTCATATGCTTGAAACTGAAATTCATCCATTATATTGAGTTGAGACATTCTTAAGTTTGTTGGATCAACCCAATTTGACTTGAATTTTAGTGGCTTAATGGTAGAAGGTTTGGTTGGAGGAATAACTCGGATTTCCAAGTCAAGGGACAACTTCTCGGGCTTGTAAGAACATGAACTGAGTCCCTCCTTAGCCATCACGGCTTCATTTTACCCTTTCATGGCCTCATTGTTCGAATTGAGGAGAACCTCTTGTAGAGCTTCTTGCATGCAAATATCTTCCATGTCATCGTCAACCACATCATCCACCACATCAACTACGGATATCACACCATAGTCATGTGGTTGTTTTATTGACTTTTGTATATGGAAAATTGCCTCTTCATTATTCAATCTAAATTTGAGCTCTCCCGCTTCATCATCACAAATAGCTCGCCTGGTTTCCAAGAAAGGTCTTCCAAGGATGATTGGAATTTCTATATCCACTTCACAATCCAATATTACAAAGTCGACAGGAAAATAGAATCGATCCACTTTGACAAGGACATCATCGATGACACCCAATGGTTTCTTTAATGTTCGATCTGCCGTTAACAACTTCATTGTGGTAGGTCTAGGATCCCCCAAACCTAATTTCTTGAATACAGCATAGGGCATCAAATTGATACTAGCCCCCAAATCACACAAAGATTTTGTGAAGCTTGTCAACCCAATAGCACAAGGAATAGTGAAAGCCCCCGGGTCTTCTATCTTCTCAACCCCGATTTGTGAGATGATTGCACTACATTGGTGGGTGACCTTGATGGTCTCAAAATTAACATTCTTCTTCTTAGTGACCAAGTTTTTCATGAATTTAGCATAGCCCGACATCTTTTCAAGAGCTTCCACAAAAGGCACATTGATGGTGATTTTATTTAACATATCATAGAACTTTTGCAATTGACCTTCTTGTTGTTGCTTTGCAAATATTTGTGGAAACGGAGGAGGCGTTCTCGGTAATTGCTTGTACACTCTTTGTGCCTCCTTTCTTGCATCATTGCTTGGTTCGTTCTCTTTTGAAGGGGCTTCTTTGACATTTTGAGAAGTGCTTGGTGCTTGGTGTACCTCTTAAACAACAATTGGACTTATTATTGGCACTTCACACTTGGGAACTTCAATCACCTCGGGTGTCTCATTGACCATGAGAGGTACATTTTGCTTAGGAACTTCATAAAATTTAGGAGGATCATCAATCTTGGGAAGAGCAACCTTAGGAACTTTGGGACTCTTGACTTTAGGAAAAGCATATTTTAGAGGCAACTCCTCTTCGTCATCATCATCCTCAACTACAATGGATCTCTTCTTTAGAATTTTGCTTCGCCTTGTGGAAATGGAAAACACTCGCTTTATGCCCTCATCTCTCTTTGAATTTGGAATTGTGTCACTAGGCAATGATCCTTGTGGTCTCATATTCAATTGAAAAGATATTTGATCCAATTGAGTCTCAATCACCTTGGTTGTTGTATGGAGGATGTTGGTAGGATCTTTGTTGATATTGTTGGGAAGATTCACCACCTCGATTACCTTGATTACCGCCACTTCAACCTTGATTTCCTTGATTGTTGTTCCCCCAATTTCCTTGATTGTTATTACCCCAATTTCCTTGGTTATTAGTCGACCTCCATTGTCCTTGGCTAGATCCTTGAAAGTTACCTCGTTGATTTTGATAGTTACTCACAAATTAAACTTCCTTATTTTGCTCTTGATAGGAATCATCTTGAGTATAGCGTCTGTTATCTTATGAGTACATCTCCTCTTGAGATTAACGCTGATTACCCTTTATATTTTGCTTAGAACCCAAGACATGAACACCTTCCATGACATGTACTTGCCACGATGCTTAAGTTTGTTGAAGTTGCGCTTTTGCAAGTTGATTCATAGTGGTGGTCAACTCGGCAATGGCTTGACCATGATCTTGAAACTCCTTGTTGAGGTGAATCATATTCAGATCCCCTTGAGAAACATTTGCTCGGGATTGCCAAGTGGATGACGTCTCCGCTATCTCATCAAGTATGGCGCAAGCCTCCGGGTAAGGTGTGGTCATGAAGTTTCTGCCGGCAAGTTGGTTCACTACACATTGATTGGTTATGTTAATCCCACGGTAGAAGGTTTGTTGCAACGTGTTCTCGGTCATATCGTTGCTAGGACATTCCTTCACCATAGTTTTATAGCTGTAACGACCCGGCTGGTCGTTTCAAGTATTACAACCCCATTTTCCCATTTACTTCTCAAATTGTACTTTACAGTTGTTGTTTGAATTGCCAGGGCAATTGGTTTGGGTCCAGTGAGATTTTGGAATGAATTGGAACATCTAGTTCCAAGGTTTAAAGCTTAAGTTAAAATAGTGACCGGATGTCGACATATGTGTAAACGACCCCGGAATGGAGTTTCGATGATTCCAATAGCTCCGTATGGTGATTTTGGACTTAGGAGCGTGTCCGGAAAAATTATTTGAAGGTCCGTAGTGGAATTAAGCTTGAAATGCCGAAAGTTAAATTTTTGGAAAGGTTGACCGGGGTTTCACTTTTTGATATCGAGTTCGGAATCATATTTTTGAAATTGGAACAGCTTTGTTATTCCATTTATGACTTGTACGCAAAATTTGAGTTCATTCCGGATTGACTTGCTATGTTTCGGCATCGAACCTAGAATGCTCGATGTCGATTCTTCAAGAATATGTGGTATCACATTAAGCAAATGAGATCCAAATTCAGTTTTGATTAAAGTATTAGATCCGTATTGAAATTACGGAGCCATAGCAAAAAGAATCGTTGAATTCAGACATAGTATGAGAGAGTTATGCCTATTTCCGTGTCTGGAACGATTTTCCGTCACCGCGAGTGCCCAGCGTAGAGTGGGGCGCTAGCCCTAGCGCTGGGAATTTTGGGATGCTGGAAACTGCGCCACAGGCAGCGCCCCACGCTACCTGTGACGCCCGAAACAGCTGAGGGTCTATAAAACGGGGTTCTTGCCATTTTTACTCATTTTTGAGTTTATGGAGCTCGGTTTAGGCGATCTTTGGGCAATTTTTACGGAAAAACATTGGGGTAAGTGTTCCTTATCCTATATTGATTATATTTCATGATTCCATATTTATTTATATCATGAATCCGTGAATTTATGGAAGAAAAATTAGATTTTTATAAAATCTTTCAAAAAATGTAAAATGAAGATTTGAAGGCCAATCTGATGTCGGAATTTGATAATTTTTGTATGGTTGGACTCGTATAGAAACGGGTATTCGGATTTTGTAATTTTTGTCGGGTTCCAATACGTGGGCCCCATGGGCGAATTTTGAGCTAAATTTTGGATTTTTATGGAAAATAGCATTTTCATATAGAATTGATTCCTATACCTCGTGTTGATTGTATCGAATTATTTTGACTAAGATTTGAGGCGTTC